AAATTTGATTTTCCTTTTATACAGAATATAAAGATTTCCCTCATTAATCTTCCATATGAAGGGTATTCCAGGCTAGAAGTTGCACACAGGTGTGTATCTTACATGGGCATTACTGGAAGTGAATGGTGTAGTGCTCCTACACATATATTAGATCAAGTGACATTACACATTAAAAGGGGAAAGAGAAATACTCTCATCAGAATCACGAAGAAAACATAACACAAAAACTGTGCAAATAAAACCAAGTCAGTAACTTTAGTGAGGACACTGCAGATTATATGGGATGGCTAGGAGGCTATAAGCTTATTTTTAAGAAAACTGTAAGTGATTAGATTGTGGAAACGACAACCACCTACAGGATGAATGAGATTGCTAATTTAATGCTTATACAATGGATAACTTGAAGCATTCCATTTCCTATAATTATATATGAGTAAACATTACTGTCTTCCAAAAAACATTCTTTTCTTTCAAATAACAAGCTGACAGGCTTTGGAAGAAAGATGGTTGATACAAAAATGTCAATGATGAATGTGAATATAATGAGTAAAATTTGCAGATGGAATATAGTATTTCATATAGTTAAAATATGCATAATCTTCTATCTCTAAAATCTTTTTTAAAAGTTTGTTTTATTTCTTTAAATTACCTAGTAGACTTTAAGTATCCAGTATCCCCACTCCTCAAACAAAAAGCGACAAAACCACATGAAGCACACTAGACCAATGATTCTGAATCTTAGAAGTACTGACTCAAAAAGGCTGGTAATTCTTTGTTATGAGGGCTGTCCTGAGCACTACGCCATGTTCAGCCACATCCCTGTCCTCCTAATAGTCACCTTCTCTCTCCCAATGGCGACAAACAAAAATGTCTCCAGACACTGTCAAATGTTCATTGGGGGCAAAATCACTCCAGTTCAGAAACACTGCACTGGGCAAATGCTATGTCCAAAATCTCCAGATAAGAAGTTTCAACATTTTTCTTTATGTTCTACATTCTAATTATTTGAACTCTAAGAAAGCAGTTGGTTACTATTATCCATCTACTTCTCCATAAAATGTAGAAGAAATTTAACACAATGGTTATGTACAGTTGCTACTGAGAATTAAAATAAAATATACCTTTATTAAAATACAGGACTCCTAGAACCAAGCCCTTAAAAGACATAGCTACTGAAATAAATCCTCATCAGAATGGAAACATTATTCTATATAAGTATAGGACTGTGCTGACGGTACTTAGCCATTTTGAATTTTTTTTCATTTTACTTTCTTTTTCCAAGCTCAAAAGACTTTTTCTTATCCCAACAGCAACTTAAATAACTAGTATTAATGAAACAGAATATAAACATGGTTAACAGATAACCCAAACAAGAGACTGCATTTTTTAAATATTTTTTTGCAATCCTCAGGTTATAAGTAAAGATAAAATTATGAACTATTACAGGATGAACAAAAGAAACTTGCACAAAATTACTTGAGGAATTTGGACAAAGTTAAATACTCACTAAAGTTAACTAAATGTAGATTATACTTTTTCCAAACACTTTCACCAGCTGATCTAATTGTTTATAACCAGACACAATAATCAAATACAAAACAGAAAGTAAAACTCTGAACTTAACTTCACAGTTTTTAAAGAATCTCTTTATTAAACCTCATAGAGTAGCATATGTTTGTATAATAAAAGTACAAGAAAATTTCAGGATTGTCACCAAAAATGTAATCAATGGAATTTTTCCCTTTGCTTTTGCGTCTCTGAATCCTCTAATTTTTTTTTGTATATAACTTTTTTTAAATCTTAGGCAAATTCTTTTTGCATTCCTATTTTCCAGCAATTTTACCAGTTTACAATTTATCAAGATATTGGGCAACTGCTAACACTATTTTCCTGGGTTTTACTTTGAACTATCCTAACTCACACCAGTTAGTGGCATTTCCTATCGACCAGCGTTAATGTGACCTTTGATAAACTAGATTTTAGATGAAAATTATATATAAAAAGTCAACTGTGTTACAGTAGTCTTGAAGTAAGGAAGTGGGTATTCTATGCAATACAAGACAAACCATAGTCCCTACCTTTCAATTTCCTGGTTTGGTAAGAACACTTTTTAGAGGGTACACATTTACATTTTTAATTTGGCACTTTCATATTCAGTGAAAATCAATTCAGATTTTAATTACTGTGGAATCTGACAATTCTCACAATGGCAAAGCTGAATTTTATGTTACTATTATCTAACAAAAGCAAGTAACATTATAAGATTTCAAATGCTTAACGTGGTAAAAATAAGAATATATTTCAATCAAAAGCATATTATCTAAAAAAAATAGTATTGCTATCTGGTCGTATGAATTTCTCTCTACATTTTTCCAGCCTCTGAATGGTCAGAATAAGTTTAACATTCACATAATACTATAGTCCATGAAAAGAGCATATATTTTATTGTGTTTTGTACATACATGTTAAGTTCCAACTTTTAATAATAAAATTCAATAAATTTGATTCCTTAATCATAAAAACTTGCTGTACATATTATTTACATGTTGCCCAGTTCTACAGCTATACAAAACATCACAAGAATGTAATTGTCTCTATGTATGGGACCATCACACAGAAGGAGGGAGCTAATTAAATAACATACATTCAAAGATTAAATCAGAGATATGCACAGTGTATCTGACACTGAACATTAGTATTAGAACATCATCTTCTTGGAAACAGCATTTTTAAGTCTTAGTCACAATATACCATAATTTGTTATTCACATTAAAGCCAGCTTTTCAGCTTTTTAACAGTAACCAATTAGTTTTAAGAAGCAAAGTACAAACAGAATTGGGAATGGAATTCAACTTTTTGCTTTGCTCCAAGCTGCAACCCATCAAGTAGGTTTAATGTGGTAATTTTTCTATGGTAGGGAGTGTCAAGAAGAAACAATTTAATGACAATCTCCTTCAATACACAGAGAGTTTTCTTTAAAATTATCACCACACCACTTCTTGAGAGCACAAAGAAGTGATGATGATGATAATGCAGAATTTAAGGTGATTTTGTCAGGAATTACAGAATGACCCATGCTAATCAAGTTGTACACTGTACTAGCATTGAGCTCACATGAGAAGGTTCTGGAATGCTTACACTTAAACTCAAAACCCTTAGCAACTTGTTTTAAGCATCTCTTCCTAGAACTACAACACATTTAAGTCAGGGACTACATATTTATTTTGCTGTGCACATACTAGAGAAGGGTATAGAAACTCAAATATTAAATCTCTATGGACTTGGGCTATGTCCCAATGGATAATTTATTTGACTAACTTCATTTTCATAAACATGAAATCACCTCATTTCAGTTGGGCCCATTAAATTTAATTCATTAAAATTGTATATACGTCAGAAAGTTTATAAATACCACTTACAGTTATCATGCTTATAAATTAAATTAACCTCCCCCATGAAACAAAAAATACTAAACAGAATGTAGATAACAGTATGGGCAAAAGAAATGAGAAATTCTCTTAAAAAGTTCAAATATGCTACAATTTTACAAAAAAAATTGGCAATAAGTTAAGACATTTTTTAAAAAGTTATATGAACAACTATGAAGTGCAAAGTAATGTCACTGGGCCAAAATTTAGTTTAATCATTTTTATTTCAAGTATATTTTAAAAAATCATAAATGGGGTTTTGTAATCCAAAGTTGAAACATTTACTCTTCATCACTTTAGAATCTGACAAGCAATTCCAGACCATGCTTTCCAAATCCAGTCTTCTTTGCTATTTTTCAGACTTCTGAGACCTAGTATTTAAAGTAATCCATTCTAAATGAACATAACTGTGGTACATTTCTTGGTAAGAGTTTTCTTAAAAAGCATCCATCAAATTCAAAAGGAATGTTTCTGTCCAAGGATCAGCACTGAGAGAAAAATATTAAACACCTATCAAGAAATCACTTACTCTATTTTAAAATAACAGAATCAGTGCTGTTCTCTGTCATAAAAGAGAACATGTAATATTATTGTTATACACTTTGGTAATATTTTATTCCCTCCCCAGGTCTCAATCCTACTTAATCTTTTATACAAAGTTACCATTGGTATTTACTGAATAAAAATCTTAGGTGTTATTCCAAAGAGGAACAGATTACTTTCAAAGAAAAGAGCTGTCTTGGTAACTTCTCTCAAATGCTTATTTTAAATAAAAATAGCTACTGGAAATTTTTTTTTTTTTAAATCAACTTTGGGTACTACACGGCATATTACTCATTACACAAAAACAAAGGAAATCAAAATTTTTCTTTTTTGGTAAATTATCTACCTTTACTTTTAAGATGACAACATATTCACTTCTTTTTTGTTTTTAACTGCTTCATTCAATATTTAAATACTTAATAATTAATTTAAAATTCTGTATTTCCATACACTGAGTGAGAGTTCTTTTTCAAATGATCTTCACAACTCAGAGCACAAACACCAGAGCAACACTCTCAAGTCACATTTTTTGACTATAATGAAGAAATGAAAATGGACGGATATCTGAAGACAGGTTTACCCTCTCCTCTCGAGGTGAGGAAGCTTTTAACACATAAGTGACACAGGATTCTAGTCTTCTGAGGCTTCCCCAAATCAAAATACTTCCATTTATTAAATCAATATATTATTCTTAAAAATAAGTTTGGTCACTAGGAAAAACTGGACAGAAAGTATTCCCCTCCCCAAACAGCTCTAATCACTCCCTCCACTCCCCACAAAAACAGAGAAGTAGTAGAGTTGAAGCCTTTAAGTCTGAAATCTCAGCTCCTAAAACACTGCTGCTAATTGCTCCAAGTTGTAGGTTTATGTACTGCATTTTCCAATTCTCCCCACATTTATAAGTTTATTTCCATATACACACATGCACACACACACACACACACTCTCTCTCTCTCTCTCTCTCTCTCTCAGTCACTCTCAAGTAAGACACTTTTTGTTTGCTGATAAATTATGAGGAATATGAATAAAGTGTGTACAGGGTTTCATGGGTGCTTTGTAAACATCAGAGTCACTTGGGTCCTTTTCTCTAAAGCCTGAAATCAAATTACACAACCAGTGATCATTACTTTCCCAAACGCTGTTCACAGGCTGCATACTGACGAAGGGCAGAGAAAAAGTCCTCATAACTGATGTTTAGGTGGGAAGGCAAAGAGCTGAAAAGAAGCAGAAAAAGCAATTAGATGATGCACTGCAATTTGGTGGGGGAAACCAGAGAATGATGACCAAAAAGAGATTAAGGTCAGAAGAAAGTACATCATAAGCAGAATATGCCAAGCCACTTCCACTAAAAGATCATTGAACTCACTGTGATACAATTCAAGTAAAAATTAAACCTTCCCTTCTTCCCACAAGAAAAGCAACTATAGTGAGTTAGATTCATAACCTGTTAAAGCAAAATCCTAGGTTAATACAAAGCTACATACCTATGTATAAAGGATCTCACTCAAATCCACTTTAAGAACTCTTGACCGTCAGAGTAAAGCCAGTACTATCTGAACAGTTTATGGAAGCCAAGCTTAATGCAGGGCTGAGTTGCACAGCATCCCCACAAGAAGCTATGTGGTGAACAACCAATAAATGAACATTAACTCCACCATTTCCAACTAGTCATCCACACAATTATACTGTGAAGACAAGCACTTTAAAGGTAGTGAAAACACAACCAGAGGGCTCTTTTTGAAGTATTTTAAATACTTATATTCAATAATTAACATAAAAAAAATCTCTTAATTTATACAGCTTTATAATGAGGTTTAGAAATTCCAAACAGTAACAGAGTTAAACACATGGTCAGATTACAAGAATCACATTCAGAGTTCTAGTCATATGCATACCCCCAAATCTCCCCTGAAAAAAGACAGACCAGGATTAGTAGATCATGCTTGTAATCCCAGCTATTCATGAGGCGGAGATTTGGAGGACCAAGATTTGTGGCCAGCCTGGGCAAAATGTTGACTATACCCCATCTCAAACAACAAGCTGGCCTGTAATCCCAGCTATGTGGGAGGCATAACTAGGATGACTGCGATCTAAGGCCAACCTGGGCAAAAAACACAAAACTGTATCTGAAAAATAACCTAAAGCACAAAAACAAAAGGATGGAGGTGGGCTCAAGTGGTAGAGCTCCTGCCTAGCAAGAACAAGACCTTGAGTTCAAACCCTACTAGTGGAAAGAAAAAGAAACCAGCTAGCCTAATGAAAGAACTCCTGTTGATCCTGTGAGTTATCTTTAGCTAAGCCTTTTCACTGTCCTTCCTCTTACCACCAGAAATTCTGAAACAGCTCCTACACTTCCTTCTAATTCCTAATAATCTCGCTCTCTTTTTTTTTTTTTAAGAGGGAGTTTGGGGGGTGAGTGAGTCTGAGGTTTGAACTAGGGGCTTTGAGCTTGTAAAGCAGGTGCTTTACTGTTTGAGTCACACCTCCAGTCCATTTTGCTCTGGTTATTTTGGAGATGGAGTCTAGTGAACTATTTGCCCAGCTGGCCTCGAACAATGATCCTCCCACTCCCAGCCTCCCAAGTAGCTAGAATTACAAGTGTGAGCCATGGGCATCTGGCTCCTAATCATCTCTTAATAACACTAAATAACATGCATCAACCTTGGTCTTAGTCACTCTACTCAAATGATATCCTTAAAACACACTTAATGATATTCTTCTGGCTAAAGCTTACCTCAAATGCCCACCTTCCTAAATCTTACTCATTTTATGCCCTTTATCAACTCCCTCATCCCCTATACGCTTCAGGAAACAATGAGTGCCATTACTGCTCAGTGCCTCAGAGTTGTCTTGCAATTTCTCAATCTGTTCTATCAGGGCCCAAACCTCTACTTTTCCATTTTATGAGGGACAGCTCTGACTCTATGGTGCTCAGTCTGGTGAAGGGTAGAAAAATACAGAGAAAACCCCAATACAACACGAGAGAGTTATGACAGACATTCGGACATAGGTCCATGGGAGAGCCTGTTATGTGCTAGGTATCTGCCATTCCTTTTCAGATTTAAATTTCAACTCTACATTACAATGCACATTCCAAAGTCACATTATTGAACTACATAGCTGAGATTTTAACAAGGTCTGTCTGCTGTAAAACATGCTCTTCCCTCCAAACCACTTTCTTGTTCACAAGGTATCACTACTGCCATTTATGGAACCCACCTAAAAAACATCTGAAATGACCTGAAAAAGCCTCAAGGAAAATAAGAGACATGTATGCACACCACCAAAAGGACACCCAGAGTTTTGAGATCTGGATTCTAATTCCACTTTGTTTCAAGTTTGAACAAGAGCTCTTCCTTGTATAATGAGGTGGGATCAGATGATTCACAGTTCTTTCCTACTCTCACACACTATGTGTTCTCTTCTGTCTGTCTGATATTTTTCTCTCCCTCTCCAAATTGGCATTTCTTAAAGGATCCCTGTGTACCCTTTGGAGAGATTCTCTATCCTCATAGGCTCAGCTACTTCCTAGATACTGAGGATCCTCAAACAAACATCTTTAGTCTTGACTTCTTATCTAATCACCAATTCTACATCATCTACCGCTTCAGACTAACCAGACTATGGTCTCAAAGTCATCCACTCCTTCCCTTCAGAATTTAGTGCTCCCAAGCTGGCAAAATGGCTCAAGTGATACAGTGCCTGCCTCACAAGTTTGAGGCCTTCAGTTCAAACCTCAGTACAAGAAAAAAAAAAAAAAAAGAAAATCAGTGCTCCCTTCTCTTTCTGATTTCTTCTCACTAACACTATAATTCACCCAGTTGCTTGGGATTAAAAACTTAGGAGTCATTTCATTTCTTCTCTAACTATTACTACAATTACTAAAGTGTTAGGCATACAATCATACTTAACAAGTACTTCTCGTGACCAATATTTACTATGTAGCCCTTTGAGAAAAAGTTTACCAAACCCTATTCTAAATAAGCAATTTCTTTTTCTTCACTGTATTCTTCCCTAAATTATAGCTATGACTTCTTCACCTGTACTTTTACTTCACTTTTTTCGCTAATCTAATTCATTCTAGTCATAGCAGCCACAGAAATCTTCTAAAATCACCACTCCTATATTACCCACAGGCTCAACTGTTTCCCACTCCCTGTCTACCATAACACGCATTCCTTTTGTTGCTATTTAAAGTCTTCCAAACTTTGACACCCGTAGACTATTTGATTTCATTTCAGACTACTACTTAACACTCTGCTCTAGTGGAACTAGTTCCCTACTTGTTTAAAATGTTCCCCAGTTTTTCCTGTTTCCCTTCTCCCCTTGTACACCCCACTTTTATTATAAATACAAAAATCTATCAGTATCATATAACATGGATAAGTTATACCTTTTCTGTGAAATCAACAACTTTGGCTCATATATTGTTAATTTCTGATCTATGTTCATTAGTGTTAATAAGAAACATCGGCACAACCATACGCTTTCTTCTGACTAACTCATTTATGTCTTCATTTTGCCATGCATACTGTAAAGTACCTAAGGTAAAGGATGCAATATATTATTTGGGAATTGCCCTCAGATCCAGCACAGTGATAGGCTTAAGAAATATGTGCTGAATCAAAACACAGTCAGTACTTACATAATTTCAGTCAATCTGATTTGCCAAGGAAGAAAGCCTAATGTGCTGTCCACAGGACCAAACTTCAATACTAAATCAGGATCAGGAAAACCATTTGAACCTTGGAAATAAAAACACACACATAAAATTAATATGCACTGCTTATACCACCCCCCCCAAAAAAACTCAAGGGCAAAATCTGTTAATTAAATTGGTAAAGTAAGGAACACAATTCCCACTCTATATCCTATGAGAGTCCCCATACCTCTTCGATCTTTTAAGTATCAACTTAAGTGTTCACTTGGCATCCTGGGAAAGGTACTGCTCTTGAGGTATAATTGCACAGAATCAAATAACTTCAGAAATGAAAAAGATGTCCGAAAGTATCTATTCTCTTTCCTTCTTCCAATGCCCCATATTTTACAGCTAAGGACCCAGAAAGACCAACTCACAGCCATAAAATACAAATGTTTTCAGTGTTCTCTAGAGCCCAAGAGACCTAAAAGAGGAGTAAGAGTGTATCTCAGAATCAACAAGCACTTGAACATTTTTTATCTGTATCATAAACCGTTTTCCATATGAGACTTGGCTTTGAGGGAAAAAAAATGGCTATGAATGTTTCAACTACTTAAAAATAAAGTTTGTTCAGATACTCAAGAGGTGGAGATCAGGAGGGATTGTGGTTGGAGCCCAGTCCATGCAATAAGTTAGGGAGACCAGATGGCAACCAATAAGCTGGGCATGGTGGTGTATGCCTGTGATCTCAGCTATTCAGAGGCTGTAGTAGAAAGATCAAGGTCTGAGGGTGACCACAAGCAAAAATTAGAGATCCCATCTGAAAAATAACTAAAGTAAAAAAGCACTGGGAGAAAGGCTCAACTGGCAGACTGCCTGTCTAGCAAGCACAAGGCCCTGAGTTCAAACCCTATCACAGTGAATGAAAGAAAGAAAACAAAGAGAAAGATAGTTTGAAGAGTCGTCAACGTAACCAATAATGATGCTATAACAGGGACTCACATTCTAACAACTTCTAACATCCTCAGTTCTGCCACTAAATTAGTTGTCACATGATCTTACCAGGGCCTAGTTTCTTCATTGTCAAGCAAAGTGACTGGGATTGGGGATATTGCTTAGCATGCACAAAGCCTTGGGTTTAATCCCCTGCAACACCACCTTCCTTCCCTCATCTCCCAAAAAGTAAGGAGACTGGATTAGGCAGGCCGACCTAGCAGCAATAGTGAGAAGTTATTTCCATGACAAAGTCCGTTTAAAAGTTTATGTTGGCTAGGCAGAACACATATCTGTCTGCCACCCAAAGAACAACTGTGTCTGAGCACAAACAGCGTATAAATCACTAGATGACTACTAAACTACGCAGATACAAGCCAGACCAAAAAAGAAACTCAAAAACTGAGCACAGACAGCAGTGGTCATCTTTATTTATAGACACACGATCTTATATTTAGAAAATCCTAAGTCTCTACCAAAAAAGCTACTAGAACTATTAAGTGAATTTCAGCAAGATTATAGGATACAAAATCAATATTAAAAAACAACTTTATTTCCAAATACTACTAGCAGTCTGAAAATAAAACTAAGAAAATAATTCCATTAACAATAGTATCAAAATGAATAAAATACTCAGTAATGAATTTAACAAAAGTAAAAAATTTAAACCCTGAAATTATAAGAATATTTTTGTGAGAAAAATAGCATCCTAACAAATCAATAAAACTATGTTCATGTCAAGGTCAATATTGTTAAGATGGTAATTCTTTCCAGACTGAGCTATAGATTCAATTCAATCCATATAAAATTCCCAGTAGGGATTTTGGGAAACTGAAAAGCTACCCTAAAATTTATATGAAAAATGCAAAGGTCCCTGAAGAGTCAAGACAACTCTGAAAAAAATAAAAGTGGATGGCCTTATCTGATTAGAAGCTAATTTCTAAGCTTATTACACTACAGTATAGTAATCAAGTCAGTTAGGCTATATAAGGTCAGACATATAGACCAATGGAATTGAATAGAGTGCCCAGAACTAAACCTACAGATTTATAGTAAAATGATTTTTTTCAACAAACAAACCACAGTAATGTAAGGGGAAAAGCCAGGCTCCTTAACAGCCAGTCTTCTCAACAAAGAGTAGAGAGAAAAACTATTTGGTTCTTTTACCTTATAAATGGATTACAGACCTAAATGTCACAGCAAAATCTATAAAACTTTTGGAAGAAAACCAAGAAAAAATAATTGTGACTTTGGGTTAGGCAAAGATCTCTTAGATAAGAAAGCAATGCCTAATCTTTTAAAGAAAGTAACTGATAAATTGGAGTGCATAAAAATTTAAAACTTTAAAGAAACCAATTAGAAAATGAACAAGCCAAGAGGAGAAAGTATTTGTAAAACATTTATCTTATTGTGCATAAAAGAAGTGTATCCGGAATACGTAAAAGCCTCTTAAAACTCAGTAAGACAATCTATTAAAAATGGGCAAAATAGTTAAAGACATTTCACAAAAGAAGATACAGGTAATAAATTAGCACATAAAAAATTTCAACATTATTGGGAAAATGAGAATTAAAACCACAACAAAACGCTATCACATACATATTAGAATGGCCAAACTACATTAAAAAAAAAAAAAACTAGACAATGCCACAGTTCAGCAAGGAGGTGGAAAAACTTTTTACCTTGCTGGTAGGGATGTAAAATGCATACCTTATTTGGAAAGCAGTATGGCAGCTTCTTAAAAAAATTAAACATTCACTCACTCGCCACATGACATAGCAGTACCACTATTAGCTATCTACCCAAGAGAAAAGAAAAAGATGTCTACATCAAGACATATATGTTAACAGTCACAGCAGCATTATTCAAAAACTGGAAACAATCAATTGTGTACCAACTGATGAGCAGATGAACAAAATGTGTTATATACATAAAATAGCATACTCAATAATAAAAAGTGACTTTTAATTAAACATGGATGAATATCAAAATATTATACTGAGTAAAAACAGCAAGACATAAGAGACTACATATTGATTCCTTTTGTATAAAATTTCCAGAAAACATGAAAATAAGTCAGAAAGCAAAACAGTGGTTGTCTGGTTTGAGAGATACAAGAGGGGACTGAACCCCAGTCACAAAGGAACTTTAGAGAGTGATGATATTCAGGGTATTTGTTTATGTCAGATTGATGAGTTAGTGTTAGGTACTGTGTACATTTTTGTTACAAGTTTACAACCCATGAAGAGGCTCAACACTTTAGTACTTTCCCAAAGGACACCTGAAGGCCACCTATGGGACATCCAACTTTTAGTATGTCCTCATGAATTATTCTCTGGTTGGGCCTCAAAGGGTCCAGTAAACAGTCAATATCCAAGTAATCTCAATTAGACAGTCACTACAAGGGTCTACTGCTCCTTGAGCTCAAATATAGTTACACAATGAAAGGGAGTATGAGAGTAGTGTAAAAGATGAGAAGTAAATGAAAGTAGGGAGTGAGAACAAGAAGCCACAAAAGGTCTGTACTCTATGATGGTCATGTAGAAGAAATGAAGAATGAAGAGCTGAATTAAGACAGAAAATGCATAATTAACAAGTAGAGTAAATGGATACCTGATGTGAATAAATAAAAAACAAGTGCTATCATATGGCTGCAGAAGGTATCAATGGACACAAATTTGTTTGAAAGACTGCCTTTCCTCAAATGGGTCAAGAATAATGCTAAGAAGAAGAGCCATAAAGTTAAAGCCAAAACTTCCTAGTTGGGTGCTAGAGAATAAGCAAACCAAAGGCTTGTATAAACAGTGTGGAAAAATATATGCATACATAATGCTATATTTTGGTATAATATGATAAATACAAGGGTGCACTTATATAACACAACGAATATTAAAAATGGAGAACAGTTATGGAATTACCTCATAAAAAGCTATTAAGTTCAAACTTCACAGAAAGTCACACTAGGGGAGAGGAGGAGAAAGAAGGCTGACAAGCAGAAGTCCTATTTCTAAAAAAGTCATCATGGCGAAATTAAAAAAACTGTCCCCAAATCCTGTCCTTTACCATTAAGTCCTCATGTAAGTAAGCTGATCTACAAATTTCATCATCGTAATACCATTTGCACATGTAAGTCTTCAAATTTCATAACTATAAAAAGTATAACAATAAAATTAGGCTTTACAGAATGAAAGAAACCTAAGCATTTTCTTTCATACTGTATCCTTGTGGGACAAAACTAAAAAACACGTATGACTTACGAAGTAAATTGTCTAACATATCTACATCCAAATCTGCTGATTTCTTGTGCTGCTGGGCTACTAACTGGCAAAAGTCCTGAGCAGCTCTCACAATATCTGCTTTTCCATCTTCTGGGGACAGCACCTTCACTGCTGAATGGCAATTTAAAACTAGAGGAAAAAGCAAATAAAATATTGTAAAAACACTTCTAGACTTATTTCAAAGTCAGTTTTATAAAATAGTAAGTTCAGAGCAAAATAAAGATACAGATTTTATGGTAAACAGCAATCACAGTCTCAAACCATACTTAGCTACTCTCCTCTGAAAAGACTTACACACCCAAAATCACATTTACATATTTATTTATATACTGCTTTTTTTTTTCCCAAGTCCTCAGAATAACCTTGCATTGTGAAAAAATCTTTTAGAATAGGAATTTTAATTATAGGCTACCTGACAACTTCTGACCTAAAATTCCATTTATAATCATAGTAGAGTTAGCAGTAACACAGAATAAAAGAAAAAAGTGGACACTAAAAAAAAATCCTGTGTTTCAATGGAATATATATATTGTCTATAGTACACACACCTTATCTAATTCTGTAGGAGCTACTTTAAAACTGCTAGGATTCAAGGTTAATTAGTAACAATGCAAATCTTTAAGGGTGAAACACGATAGCTCATACCTATAATCCCAACTACTTGGAAGGCAGAGATAGGCAGACTGTAGTTCAAGGCTAGCCTGGGATAAATATGTTATGTTAGCAAGATGCTATGGTACATGCCTGTAATTCTAGTTACATGGGAAACACAGGTAGGAAGAACATGGTCTGAGGTTGGCCTGGGTAAAAAGCAGGAGGCACTACCTGAAATATAACTAAAGCAAAAGGGACTTTGGGTGTGGCTTAAGTGGTAGAGCCTAATAAGTAGAAGGTCCTGAGTTTAAACCCTATAAGGGTTTACCTACAGACCAGCAAGCTCTTTCTAGACTCATAATTTCCTTATCTTTCCCTTCATCCTTTACAAAAAAAATAGTTTTGCTTCTAGTTACATACTCATTTAATTTTTTGACCTATAAATGTATATGCTCTTTTGATTCTGTTAAACCAGTTATAAAATCTGGCTTGGTTAAATAAAGTCTTTAACATGTATTCACTTTTTAATATGAATTGTTATTTTACCTTTTTTCTAAAAGTTATCTTTTAACAAAATAAAGAGGGAAAATCTGGTAATTAAAGATATTAACAATAAAGACATTAAAGACCAAAATGAATAAAAAATTACTGACATTATTTTCCCTGAAACACAAAATACATGTCTTCATATTCAATTTTATACTCATGCTTACCTTGATCATCTTTGTCATTACTATTTGCAAACTCTGTTGAGTATTTGGAACAATCCAGACCCAAAAGTTCCTGCTGTTGTTTTAAAATTTCATCCATCAATCTAGAATTATTTTTTTTGAAAATACCTTAAAAAGAAAATTAAAAGCAAATAAATCACAAGTAGATTAATTTAACCTCTTCAATGATTAATGGATGCTGTTGTGAATACAATACTAGATCCAGAACTGAACAAATCTCATGAACCTAAACCAGAGTCTAAAGGCAAAACATGACAACAAAACTTGTTAGTAAAGAATCTGGCTTTAGGGTAAAGTCAAACAAAGGACAGGGGTTAACTACTTAATGGCAAAGTGAACTTGACAGAAACTTAAAATTAAAAAGGAATTTTAAGAGTTCATTTACTTGAATCATTTATTACTGATTAAGAAATGAAACCCAATGTCCCTAAAGGGCTTAGCCAAGAATTTATTTGTTTCTAAATTCAGTCTAACATTTGCTCTGCAGATTTACTATGTGAATTAAATACTATTGCCTCAATTTGATTTTTTTTATTTTTACAAGGAACTAATATTATGTAAAAAGAAGAGAGAAAAAATTTTAAATTTAAGCAAATCACAGATACAAACTACACACAGAAGTTTACATGTAATTTACTACCATGTTGTTGAGAAAGACAAAGGAACTATGTGACATACATTTAATATAAAATTAATATAGAGCTGTAATTGGAGAAGAAAAAACCCCAAACCACAAGACCACGTTTTAAAATCTTTACCAAGCGCTGACACACTTTTGTGTGTGTGTGTGTGTGTGTGTGTGTGTGTGTATGTGTATGCATGATGTTTAAAAACAAATGCTGCTGATACAAGGAATATGAGAAAAGGGGTGAGGGAACAGTTCTAATTTTATTCTATACTGCTTACCAAACAGGTAACCAACAATTTGTGAGCAATGTGGAAATGTATGGCAATTTAATCCAAGGAGAGTGTACCTAATGTAGGCATAAGGAAGGACAGATAGCAGACTACTGCAAGACTCCATATACAATTTAGTTGAAGCAATGGAAAAGAAGGGCTCACCACAAAGGAAGAACTGAGGAAAAAATGGCACATGACTTATTTAGAGGTGAATATGAACTATTCCATGGCTTTTATCCTAGGTAGCAGAAAATGGTAACAAATTTTAAAAGTGGGTAGAGGTATTCTAAGAAAGAACTGGTTAGTAGGAAAAGATACGCTCAGTTTTAGAAAGCTAATGATAGAATATTTGGGGGGTTCCTATAAAAGTGATTAAGAGACATGAGGTCATACAAGAACCATGTGGATAAGGATCTTGTCTGTTTAGTCCATCAGGACCTAGCATAGTGCCAGGGACATACAGCAAATACTCAACAAATGTCTGCTGAAAGAGGGGAGGTCAGAGACTGAGCTATAGATATACATCCAGAGTCATCCTCCTTAAGATGAGAGAACTATATATCCAAGAAACACTAAGATACCCAAAGGTAAGTGGGCATAATAGAAAAAAAAAAAAAGAGGGTTAAGATTTATGAATGCCCACAATTACAGAGTTCTACATTTAGAAACATAAAATGAACAGTCTGGATCACCAATATTCACTGCAAGATTTAACAGAAAATTCCTAAATACTAGCAAAAATTTAAAAGGAAAATGGTTAATAATGAAAGTGCTATCTTTACAATAGTCACACTTGTGCCGTGACACTACTGATGTAGATATAATCATTAGCCCCAAATCAAAACGCAAACATGATAAAAAAAAGTATATGCCACTGCAAATGGTATATAAATGTACGATACAGACTATACATGTTATAAATTCTTGAACTCATATGAATTTCAAAAATTTCCTAATTTAACTGCAAAAATCTCTACAACATTCCAGCGAGATTTTATTTTTTAAAAATGGTGAATAAATCTATTTCCCATGTGAACTAAGACTTATTCATTTTAATACTAACTCAACACTAGGAAGTCTTGCTTTTTGTCTATTTCAATCACATGGATCCCCTCCTCTGATACTCTTCTTTTTTTTGAGGGACTAGGATTTGAAATTGAGGCCTCATGCTTGCTAGGCAGGTGTTCTACCACTTGAGCCACTCCGCCAGCTCTTTTTTTGTGTTGGATATTTTCAAGATAGGGTCTCCTGAACTCTTTGCCCTTGCTGGTTTCAAACCGCAATCCTCCTGAACTATGCTTCTCAAGTAGCTAGGATTACAAGTGTGAGCCACTGATGCCTAGCTGATACTCCTCTTTTGAAAGAATTAGTTCTTAGGAATTCTTTCACCTTTACTTTAACCTCCAGACTAAAATCGTAATTGTCGAGGAACTCTTGTCTCTTCAAGGCAACCCAAGGCCTCCTGCAAGCTAGGTAGGCACCTCTAATGGATTAGCCGAGGCCTCACTGGAACTCATTATGTAGACCAGGCTGGCCTCAAACTCAAGACCTTCCAGCCTCAGTCTCCCAAATGCTGGGATTAGACCAGCCCTCTACAGAATGACAGTCTTAATCACCAAAACAGTCCTATCACTTCTCAATCTTTTTTCTTCTCAGCTTTTCTGAAGTATTACCATTAATTAGCACTCTGTTTCCTTCTCAGAATTCCATCCTCACCCTAGAATGCCTGAATGTCCTCTCCTGAGTCAACTCCTAGCTCCTTGAATAGTCTCCTCTCACTTTCCAACTGAATCCTCTTCCTTTTTCCATCCCAAATGAAGATTATTCCTCAGCCCTCTCTTGATGTTCACATGCCTCTCCTTCTTGAGTCTAGTCATTCACAAGATTTTGAAAACACTATGGACCAGGAAAAGGTTAAAATGCATATGGCAAAATAGCAGTGCAGTAACTTTATTTTTTTTAAGTCTTTTTCACTTTTTACTATATTATTGTAGTACTGAGGATACAGTGTGACATTTACAAAAATGTTCACAATATATCTTACATTCACCTCCTGCATTATTCTCCTTTACCTCCATTTCCCCCGCCCAGTGCAATAACTGTAAAAATTAATGTGAAAGCATTCATGATAAAACATTAAAATTTTAAGTAAAAAAGGGATTATTTGTTTCTTAAAATTTAGTTTATTCCCACACCTAATTCTACCTTGAAGCATGTGATCATGAACAAAGCTAAAACTTGCCAGCTTACCTCATAAAGCTAGCTCTCAGAACACTTAAAGTACATCAAGTTGAAAAAGAGGGAGTAGAACTTTAAGAGTAAAACTTATATGCACTTAGGGATAAAGTATTGAAGAGGCAAAAAAGAGAATAGTAAATGTATGAGGGTGATGGAACAACAACAAATTTAAAATTATAATTGCTGTAAAGCTGTTCATATAAATTTTTTTAAAAACCCATAGCCCTTCTGCTTGGCATTCTATTTCTATTAAAGGTATCACAGGTTTGGCCAAGTGGCTCAAATGATACAGCAATGAGACCCTCAGATCAAACCCCAACAAAATAATAAAGGTATCACTACCGGCCCAGTCATGGAGGCCATCTTCTCTACTCTCTAGTAGTATCACTCCCCTCCCCCGCCACACACCTTACTAAAAGGCTAAGCTCCTCTACAGCAATGTTTTCTGTATCTACATTTGTCCAATGCCCCACTATTTCAAGTCACTGTTTATATTTCAACAACCATCCACGGGTCTTTCTTCCTCCTCTAATGTATATATCACTAGACTTATCTTTAGGTACATCTTCAATCTTGGCACATTCTATCTTTAGTATTTTTAATGCTTCCTAAAATGTCCAGTATTAGTAACAAACTGGTTAGCCCAACAATAATGCTTCAGTCTATGCTTCTATGGTAGAAGAAAACTGTCTTTATGAAATAAATGAATTTACTTTTTGTAGTACTCATCACCACCAGAAAATTAGGTTTGCCATATGTTTCTCAAAACCAGATGTGACTCTGGCCCCTATAATTTATGCTACCTTCCCAAACCCATACCTATAAAATTCTCCTAGTTCTTCACAGGCCAACTGAAATGTCATCTATCCTCAACAGGCCTTTCCCAATTGCTCCAGTCAGATGTGCTTCATTCCTCTTTTCATTCACTCACACCCCTCCACGGGCTCACATTTTATTCAAACCCCTTAATAAACTAATAGTTTACTTTTTAGATTATGAGCAAGATGATTCCTAAGACCTTACAACATGACCCCCATATAGAAATCAGATTATATACAATTGTACTTATTTCACCCATAAACAATATTATCAGCTAACAATTTTCTTCATATATATGTATGTATATGTATGTATGTATATCATGTAATATATAAGAAATGCAACAAGCTATAAGGGTGGCTTTGATTCAAATAGGAAATTTCTCTAGCTATAGCACAGTATATATAGATTCTTGTTCTTATATCATAATCCATCCTGCTTGCTTTCTAGAACCTAAACTAAAGCCAAAATGATGAATTGAAAGTAAAAATAAATAAATAAATAAAGCCACTTTTTGTAAAATTTAGAACATATTCATGCAGAAATAACCGATTTAAGGAAAAAACACGTGAAAATACAATTTTGAGAAAAATATATTTTATAGAATCAGGTAGTATTAAGCTACAAAAATTTATATCTTTTTACAGATGAAACAATAGACTCAGAAATGTCAAGCAATTGTCCTTCAATAGCTAAGAATCTGGCGTGAAATCTAGGACTCCTATTTTAATTAACACTCACACAGTAACTATTTTTAACTCTGACAAATGAACAATGCTAAACTTGCTGTACCATTAAAATTTGAATTTCCCTCTAAAAACGTTGAACTCTATTAAATAAAATTTATCTAATTTTATGAGTACTATTTTTTGAAACAACTAGGACTGCAGTTCTATTCTTTCTTCTTTTTTTTTCCCATGATAGCTCTTTCTTAAAAGGTTTTGAGGAGGCTTCACAGGGCCAACAGATATTTTTAATTCTTTAAGAATAACTTGGAAATCTAAGATAAGTTTTCTGCAATAAAGAATAAGGAACTTCACATTGTTTTGCTGCTCCTCAACTATCTCATGAAGCCACAATTACCAAAATGTAAACCATTATATATACAAAAGATATATGAAAAAGACATTTTTGAAAACACAAGTGCATGA